CAAACCAAACCATTTAAAGCTACTTAAGTTAAATGGAAGACTTTCAATTGGCCTCATTTGCCAGGGTGCCCTTCTGCCTGCTCACACGAGGTGGCACTTATTAGCTAATGGACCCACAGGTTGAAAAAGTAACCATAAATTGCTATGTCCCCTTCTACTTGCCCCATTTCTGAGGAGCCTGGAACCCAGACAATGTGGGCATGGGTTCCTTTGGAAGCCACATGGCCTGTGTTTACAATAATAGTTACCTCCCAGGGTAATATAAGTTGCTTAAGTCCATCAGCAGAATTTGCTTCACCTCCTCAGTGTTTCAAAGTCCTCTGCTCAGTACCCTCACCCCAAGAAAAAACAGTATTTAAAGTATTTATTACATGCCCCATGACATCAAAACTTTTTAGATGACAACAGCACCACGTTCGGGCAATTTAGTCAATGGAGCTTCACAGCAGCCTCCTGTGGAGGCCAAACAGAGCTGCTCCCCATCCTGCAGCTGAGAGCATGGACGCCCAGACAGGAGCACTGACTTGCCTCCCAACTTCAGCTGTGAGTTCCTTAGAGGCAAGAACTGTGTGTATCTCTATAGCCCCAGGCCCAGCACAGGGCTGGGCACATGGCAGGCACATGTTAAATATTGCTGACAGGTGATTCTGTGGGATCAGTGTTGTCATCCCATTTTAGTGGCACAGAAGCTGGCATGGAAGGTACGCTGGCCCAGGTTGTGTGGCCAGCACGCGATGCAGCCAGGACTCAGGTTCAGGCCCGAAACTCCAGTCTGCTCCTCCCACCACATCACCTACTTTCCCATAATTTACCTGGACAAACGTGATATCTGTGAAAATGGAAACTGACTGATTTGGGCCACAGATCCCAGACCTCCTGGGATCGGTGGACACTGGCTCTGTGCACTTCAGTTGTGGGGTTCAGGCCATGCCCACTTCTGTCTGAGTGACAGAAACAAGTACCCTGGGGAAGGAGGTGGGGAGGAGAAAGAAATGCCCCAACTAGGAGTGGCAGAGCACAGGGGCAAGAAATCAGGTCTGTGTCAGGATAGGGACAGGAAGCTTTTCCTCAGCGGATGAGGTGGGCAGCCCTGGGCTATGGAAAGGGTTAAATCAGCTAGGTCTGATTCAAGGAGAAATGAGTGAGGAGACAGATACCAGGACCAGAAACAGTTTCTGTGATGGTTTGACCACCCTTGTCCCAGTTTGCAACTTCTTTTTAGAGATTAAAGCTGGATCCTCTAGGACCCTGCTAATCCAACTGTGGTCCCTGAAGCAGCAATCTCAGGATCACCTGGGGAGGCCCTGGCCTGGTGGCTCAGCTGGAATCTGCATCCTAGTGAGATCCTAGGTGGCTTAAGTGTAAACATTAAAGTTTGAGAAGTGCTGGCCCAAGACAGTTAAATCAGCCTGGGCCGAGCTTCAGCTGTCAGCTGTGAGGACACCAAAGCAGCATCTCCGTTCAGCCGTGGAGGCCAGACAATGTGGGCACCCACCTTTTCCTTCTTTACTGTTTCAATTTTATTACAGACATTTTTAAATATACATAAAAGCTGAGAGAAGAATATAGTAAAACCTCTAACTACCTATTACCCTATGCTAATATTTTAAGTTTCCCCAAAGTCTTAATGAGGACAGGAGTTGCTAGTTAAATGAATAAGTTGAAAGCAATTTTTAAACCTTTGGGTACATATAAATCAAGATGCAATGGGCCTGGGTTAGGGCCCAGGAATATGCATTTTCAACAAGCAACCCAGGTGGCACTAACACTAGGGATCCTGGGACTGCACTGGAGAAAGCACTGCTGAATCAACTTTGCTGATAATTAATTAATAGCAATCTCTACACTTACAACACATGTTGGAGCCAGCAAGGCCAATTCTGGCCTAAACCACTCACTTCATTCATTCACCCACCTTTTACTGAGCTCTAGCTCTGGGACATGGAGTCTGCCTGGTGCTGGCTGACAAAAACAAATATTGTGGGAAGAAAGGTGAATAACACTCATTCCACGTGGCCACTCAAACCTCTTGCCTTCTTCAATCTCTGGGTTTGAGAGTTGGGCCAACTTCATAGGTTTGACCCCCATAAAAAGCAGGAAAGATAGAAGAGTATGTGACCATTTTGTAAACTTTGTGGGGCTTAGACCAATATATAGAAGTTTCAGGGAAGGATATATCTGCCCATTGCAAGAAAGGGCTTTCTCGCAAATGGAGCTGTCCAGTAAAGGAAGATTTCCCATCCTATCTAATAAAGAGGGAATATGCTAATTGGCCCTCACACCGTCGCAACAATGGCAGCACCCACGGCCAATAAGGAGCTTGTTAAAAATGCACATTCTGAGCCCCCACGGGGATCTGACTCAGACTCTGCCTCCTGGGTGCTCCTGATGGTCACTAAAGTTTGGGAACCACTGATGGAGATGAACCACGATGTCCCTTTGAGCTCAGAAGGGCTTGGGATGGATTTCACAAGTTAAATGGCTGTCATTTCACTTGTGACATTTCAGCTCTAAATTCCTTGTAATTGTGCTCATATTAGCTCCTCTCTCTTGATTTCCCTACTTATCCATTCAGAATGTCAGATGCTCCCCCAGCTAGACCCTGTCACTCCAGGTTTTCTGCTCTGTGTGCCTAGTTGAAAGCACAGACTGAAGTTAGCAAGTGGTGGGTAAACCTAGCAGGGACTGGGAGATGGTGGGTGAACAGCAACTCTTTCCCTCTCCTCCTATACCTCTCCCCACCCCCAACATTGGTAGAAGAGAAGCAAGTAAAGAGAGGGCAGGAGGAGGTAGAGGCAGGGAATCTTTGTGTACCTGATGCATGTGCTTCTTCAATGTAAATGACGAGAAAATCTGCTATGGCGCTAAAGTCTTCAATAAGTCTCTTGAATTGGTCAAATTTGAAAAGAAATGAAGGTCAGGTACAACTTCCAAAATTCAGCACCAGTGGCCTGTTGCCTGAAACAGAAATGGAACCATCTCCAACCAATCATTTACACGCAGCATTTATTTTACAAGCACCATCTTTGCTTCCGCTTCAGTCCCATTATCTTTATTTCCCCCCCTCAGATGGAGCAAGGGCACAGTGAGGAGCAGAAGCTTAGAGAGCATGACTAAGCAGAATCTGGAGCCAGTTTACTCCTCTATAAAATGAGGATTTTTATCAGGCAGTCTGAGTGGGCCAACACAGTTGCTGGGTGAGGATGAAAAGAATGATGAGTCCCTTTGAATGCAGTTTACAAGGCAAGCATACATCCATTCTCTCATGGGATGTGATTGGTATACTACAAGGCAGACATTTTATAGACAAACTGGAGGCCCAGGGCGCAACTGAAATCGTGCGAGGAGGCACCCCGTGGGAGTCAGGCCGGACCCGTGCTGCGGGCAGCTGGGACCCGCACCTGACTCACGCAGCGCCGGGCCACGGGCAGCTGGGACCTGCACCTGACTTCCGCCCCAGGTCCCCATTCCCCTCCCTGTGTCCGCTCCAGGGCTGCCCAAGCCAGCACGGCAGCTCAGCCAGCCCCAGGCCTCCCTGGCCCTGTACCTGTGTCCGCTCCGGGCCACCGGAGCCACTACTCCGGCTTGGGAAGGCCTCCCTGTGTCTGTCTCTGTCTCTGCTCCCGACCTCACCTGAGCGCACAACCTCCTCCTGTCTGATCGTGATCTGTTACGGCGTCCCAGCCTAATTTGCATATTACCTCTTTATGTGTATAGGTTGAGTTTTATATGCCTGTCTCATGTCAGTAGGTCAGCAGTGGAATTAAAATTAACACTGTCTCTTAGACTCTCAATTCAATATTCTTTCCATTCAAGGCATCTGTTTTCTCACCCACAAATATACACAGTAATAATACATAGTAATAATAGGATTGTTATGAGAATTAAAGAAGTTAATACAGATAAGGGCTTAAAATAGTGCCTGGCCCATAGTAGGTGCTCAATAAATGTAAGCTGTTATTAGATATTATGTTCTCCCTGAGCCAAGATGTGGGGGAGGCAGTGAAAGGAACTCCAGGAAGGGCAGTGAAGGGTGGGAGCAGAGCCAGCTACATAATTTACTGGGTACAGTGCAAAATGAAAACTCAGGGCCCCTAGTTCAAAAAGTGAGGGGAAAAAATGTCATCTATACTAATAAAAGGGTAATATGCTAATTAGACTGGGAGACCTTCAGGGAGACCTTCTAGATGTCCTTCTGGACAAAGCCATGATGGTGGGGCGAGGCAGAGGCGGTTAGGGGCAAACAGGCCACTGGGGGGGGGGGAGGGTGGCAGTGGGGGCGAGCAGGCCAGCAGTGGGGGCAGTTGGGGGCAAGCTGGCCGGCAGGGGGGGCAGTTGGGGGCAATCAGGCAGAGTGGTTAGGGGCAATCATGCAGGCAGGCGAGTGGTTAGGAGCCAGCAGTCCCAGAGTGCAAGAGGGATGTCCAACTGCCTAAAACCGGCAGTCGGACATCTCCCAAGGGGTCCCAGATTGGAGAGGGTGCAGGCTGGGCTGAGGGACAACTCTTTCCCCTTCCCCACCCCCACATTCCCCCCACCCCCACCCCCCACCCCGTGCACGAATTTCGTGCACCGGGCCACTATTTTAGTATGTTAAGATATAAAGATTTTTCTTAGCTTCTGTGGTCTCTGTCTTGCCCTGGTCTGGTACTTTTTTTATATATAACAAAGGTGGAAATTTATTGAAGAACAAGTACAGATTCCCACTTAGGGAAGGGGAATCTCACAGCACAAACTCCCACGTGGGGAGGGGGAAAGAGTCCCACCGACTTCCTGTTTCCCCGGTTTATAAAGGCTGCAAGTCCCAGTGCCTTGATCCCTTCTGATTGGTCATTATTCCCTTAGCCTGGTTACTATAGTAACTCCAGAGCTCAAAGGAGAGGTTTTCCTCCCCTCCTCCCTTATTGTTTACCTATTCCCTTTGGGCTTTCTCCTTCTCCCTTTGAATGAGGGGTTTCCTTACCTTTATTTCGTAAATATAGACCTTCTGCTGTTCCCAGCTCCCTCATTCTATGGAAATGCACCTGTTGCAGCTTTCCAGCCCTGTGCTTCTTCCACGGTCCCCTTAATTGCTAAAATTTCTAAAATGTCCTTAAACCTGTCTTTTTCACCCCTAGAAATTCCCATTTCAGTACATTGTGCCAATCGTTGTTCTTCATACATATTCTGTCGGCGACGCCGGCTTCTTTCGGCTTCAGCGGTGCGTAGTGCCAGTCGTTGTTCTTCAGACATGTTCTGTTGACGACGTTGCTTTCTTTCGGCTGCAGAGATACGCTCTGCCAATCGTTGTTCCTCAGACATGTTCTGTCGACGACGCCGGCTTCTTTCGGCTTCGCAGGTACGTTGTGCCAATAGCTGTTCTGCAGACATAGTCTGTCGACGACGTTGCTTTCTTTCGGCTTCAGAGATTCTTTCTGCCAAGAGTTGTTCCTCAGACATGTTCTGTCGACGACGTTGCTTTCTTTGGGCTGCAGAGATGCGCTGTGCCAGTCGCTGTTCTTCAGACATGTTCTGTCGACGCCGCCGGCTTCTCTCGGCTTCAGCGGTGCGTAGTGCCAATAGCTGTTCTGCAGACATGTTCTGTCGCTGACGTTGCTTTCTTACGGCTTCGGAGATTCGTTCTGCCAGTCGTTGTTCTTCAGACATGTTCTGTCGACGACGTTGCTTTCTTTCGGCTGCAGAGATGCGTTGTGCCAGTCGCTGTTCTTCGGAGATGTTCTGTCGACGCCGCCGGCTTCTCTCGGCTTCAGCGGTGCGCAGTGCCAACAGTTGTTCCTCAGACATGTTCTGTCGACGACGTTGCTTTCTTTCTGCTTCGGAGATACGTTGTGCCAATCGTTGTTCTTCAGACAGGGTCTGTCCCCGACGCCGGCTTCTTTCCGCATGGTCATCAGCAATTAGCCTGACAAGAGGCCTCTTTGTACCGTCGCTGTTCTGGGCCCCACTGCTGCTATTCGCCGCTGCGGATGCAGAGAGCTGCCCAGCAACAGCAGCATGGGCAGCGACGGGCACTGGCGCTGAGACTGGCTGCTGGCTCACAGAAGCTGTGGTGGTTGTATCCACTGAATTACCATCTTCAACTACAGAATCCTCGGTGACATCACTGGTTTTCTGCCATGGCTCCAGCTCCTCCTCCTCACATTCCAGAAACTGGTCGATTGGCTCCAGCTCCTCCTCCTCGCATTCCAGAAACAGGTCGATGTCCGCCATGCTCCCGCGGTCTTCGCCGTCCCCGCCGCCGCCGGTAGTCCGACCCAGAGAAGGCGCCATCGCCTTAAAGGGACCTGCACTCTGCGCCGGGAGAAGGGGGTGGGAGCAGGGGAGAGGAAGGTGGTCTGACTCGGAGAAGGCGCCTTCGCCTTAAAGGGACCTGCACTCCGAGCCGGGAGAAGCGGGTGGGAGCAGGGGCGGGGCGGTGGTCTGACCCCCGAGAAGGCGCTGTCGCCTTAAAGGGACCTGCGCTCGCCCCGGGAGAAGGGGGTGGGAGCAGAGGAAGTGACGGTGGTCTCACTCGGAGAAGGCGCTGTTGCCAAGGCTTAACTTGCAGTGGTTCTCAACCTTCCTAATGCCGGGACCCTTTAATACAGTTCCTCATGTTGTGGTGACCCCCAACCATAAAATTATTTTTGTTGCTACTTTATAACTGTAATTTTGCTACTGTTATGAATCGTAATGTAAATATCTGATATGCAGGATGTATTTTCATTGTTCGCGACCCACAGGTTGAGAACCGCTGGAAGCCTTAAAGGGACCTGCACTCCGCGCTGGGAGAAGGGGGTGGGAGCAGGGGAGAGGAAGGTGGTCTGACCCAGAGCAGGCGCCCTTTCCTTAAAGGGACCTACACTCGGTGCCTGGAGAAGGAGTTGGGAGAGGGGGTTTGGGGGAGACGGAGAAGAGGGAATCGTTGAAAGCTAGTCGCCCTGAGGGTGCGAGGAAACCTCCCTAGGGTTCGAGTGATCTGGGATGGATTTTTTTCCCGAGGGGGCCGGGGGCGGGCAAGGGAGGGGGTAGGAGGGCCAAGGAATGCAGCTCTGTGTACTGGAGCTGGCGTGGGGGAGAGAGACGCCAACTTCCCCACCGACCCTCTTGCCCGCCTGGCCTGGTACTTTTTGTTGCTATTTAATGTTGCACTCCCCTGGGAACAGGGATATTCACAGAGTGGATGCAGACTCTCACAGTCACCCAGGAGCCCCCAAATTCAGTGTGCATGAGAATGTGTGTGTCTGTGGCCACTGGCTATTGGCTTTCCTTTCCCTCCAGCCACCAGACGAATGCACCACATCCCAGCCAGGAACACAAATTTAGCCAGACATTTCTCCTTCCCAACCCAACCCACAGGAGATTACAAACTCTGTGCATCGACATGCCAGATACCTTGATGCCAGGGGAGATGGGCAAGAGACTCCTCCTATCAAGGCACCCCAGTCACTTGCCAAATTGCACCATGATGCTGTCAGCCCTGAGTGGGGACGGCTGCCTCATGCCCTGCAATGAGACACTGTGGGATGCCCACACCTGACCTTGCCCAAGCCCAGGCCCAGGCCCACGCCAGGCCCAGGCCCACGCCCAGGCCCAGGCCCACGCCCAGGACCTGTGTGGGCCAGAAGGTGGCAGCAGTGACTGGGTGGGAACAGGAAGGAAGCTACATGGGATGGGAGAGGAAGAGTGGGCCTTGGAGAGCAGGAAGGCTATGGGAGGTGGGATCCTACAGAAGCCAGGTTCCAGGTACCCAGGATATGTTCCATTGTTGCATCAGGTTACAAAATGCAAATTCAAAGATAAAACTATTAAGAATTTCAAGACAACTATAGCAAAGCATTAAACCCCAAGCACAGGGCCCTTCTGAATGTGGGACCTCATGTGACTCACTGGTCCCATGAAGCCTGCCCTGGGCGGGTGCCTTCTGTAACTGTCCAGCCTAAGTTGGGGTGAAGTCTAGGGAGCTGATAGCACCCTGTGGTTACTTATGGCCAGAGCCGACAGTGGTGAGCCCTTACTGTACACCTATTAGAACATGCAGGTCCTGCACTGGGGCATGGCCTGTGTGTGTCTGTATCCCCCAGGCTACTCATTGCCCTTGAGGGCAGGGCCTGTTCCTCACTCCTCCTCACATCCCCCACAGGGAGCACACTTTCCTTCACCTACAAGCATTTATTCAGCACTTACATATATACAAGGCTGTCTGTGATATGCCAGTGACTCGGCAGAGAGCAAGACCAGCAGGTCTCTGCCTGCATGCACTTGGAGGCCTGCTTCATCGGGAGACAGGCAAAATATAAGTAAAGGTATAAATGAAGTAATTTCAAGTTGTGGTAAATGTTACAAAAGGAGTGACATGCTTTAGACCAGGGGTCCTCAAACTACGGCCTGCGGGCCACATGCAAATACAAATATTGTATTTGTTTCCGTTTTGTTTTTTTACTTCAAAATAAGATACGTGCTGTGTGCATAAAAATTTGTTCATTTTTTTAAAAAAACTATAGTCCGGCCCTCCAACGGTCTGAGGGACAGTGAACTGGCCCCCTGTTTAAAAAGTTAGAGGACCCCTGCTTTAGACAGTCAAGTCAAGAAAGGCCTCTGATGAGATGTCTGTCATTTAACTAAAGAAATGAAGATTAGGAATGAACCAGGGGGCTAAGGGAGGAGAAGCAGACAAAAGGACTCCAGGTAGAAAGGTCCTAGGAGGCACAGACAGAGGTTGGTGTGTTCAAGGACCTGTAAGGCCAATGTGACTGAAGCCAGGCTAGGGGAGGAATGAGAGTTGTGGATGGAGAGGTAGGTATGGGCCAGAGCAGGCAGGCTCTCCTACACTATAAGGAATCGGAATTTTATTCTAGGTGCAATAGGACTTCATGGAGATTCAAAGCAAGCATGGTGGATATTTGTTATAATTTTGGCTGCCCATCTCCTAATTGTCCTTCCTATTTGAAATTCCCTATTTTGTGTATTATTTATTGATGGGAGAGTGTGCTCAGCCTTGCTCTATGGAATACAGAGGGGCCAGGGCACAGTCAGTGACTCAGGTAGGGCTGATTGGACTCTCCCACATAGATCTTTGATTCTGGAATAATTGAGATAGTAGAATTCATCCACCGTCCAGTGGTAATGCCCATCAGGGGTGGTGGAGTCCCACAGTGTTTATGGTTTCCCATGGCAACCACAATGATAGCAGCATCCAGGCCTGACCTTTGAGGCTAAAATATAGTCCAGACCTAGTGCTCCAGCTGTGGTTGATTCTGGGAATCTTACAATTTTCTAATACATTCCTTTGTATATGTATATGTGTGTGACTAAGAAAACCAGAGTGGCCCAGCTGGCGTGGCTCAGTAGTTGAGCATCTATGTATGAACCAGGAGGTAACGGTTCGACTCCTGGTCAGGACATTTGCCCAGTTGTGGGCTCAATCCCCAGTAGGGGGTGTGTAGGAGGCAGGCGATCAATGACTCTCTCATCATTGATGTTTCTATCGCTTTCTCCCTCTCTTCTTCTCTGAAATATATATATATATGAAAGTGAGTTTCTGTTGCTTGTAAGCCAGCCTCCTGATGCTACAGTAGGGCTGTATAATGAAAAAATGATCAGGTTTATACAGAAGATCACTCTGGCCATTCTAAAAGGAAGGGACTGAGGTGAGAATGGAAGCTGTAGAGAAACAGTTGGGAAGAATCCACATGGGAGACCATGAGAGCATGGGCTAGTGTGTGGGCAGTAAAGAAGGAAAAACGAATTGACAGGACTTGCTGATGGATGGGGAGTAGAGGACATCTTACCTTGCTTGTGGTTTACTTGGTTAGTTATTTCTTCACCTACTTCTGCAAAGGATTTGAAGTAGCTTAGGAGGCACAGAAGAGGAGGGAAATGTGGAGCACATAAATAGGCTTTAAGGTCCCTGCATTAATTATAACAGCTGATATTTGACTCTGAGTTTCCTAGTGGCCAAGTAAAAGGGGAAGTCATTGGTTATAGTCCTCATTTTTCAGTATGAGGAGAAAGCAGGCCGGTTTCTTTGGAGATACACGGTTCTCCTTGTCCTTGGCTCACAGATTTTTCTCTTAAGAGGCCCTAGAGCAGTGGTTCTCAACCTGTGGGTCGCGACCCCTTTGGGGGTCGAACGACCCTTTCACAGGGGTCGCCTAAGACCATCAGAAAACACATATATAATTACATATTGTTTTTGTGATTAATCACTATGCTTTAATTATGTTCAATTTGTAACAATGAAATTGGGGGTCACCACAACAGGAGGAACTGTATCAAAGGGTCGCGGCGTGAGGAAGGTTGAGAACCACTGCCCCAGAGGGTGTTGCATGGGCTCTGTTGCTGCTGCTGGATTGCTCAACAAGCCCTTGCCCATATGACAGGGTTGCTCGGGCCTCAGCAGGAGAAGCTCAGGGGCCAGTCATGGACAAGTGGCTGGCCATTGACCTCTAATCCAAAAGACTTAGGGTCAGGACCAGAGTTAAATATTAGCTGTCTGGAATTTGTTTTTAATTGGAAAGAAAAAAGATTCAGCACCCACTGATTAGTACCTTAGAAGAAACAGAGCCATTTGTTTGTTTATAGTGTGGTGGGTGCAATGATCAGTATTGAGGGCAAAGTTTAAACTCAGTTCCCTGCTTTCCTGGTGATAGAAAGAGGAAGGATAGGTACAAAGGGGTGGAAGTGCTGAGGGCTGACACCCTGCCCATGTCCACAGGCCATGGTACAGAAAACACCTGTCAAGAACATAGGGCAAAAACTGTCAATCAACTTATCTGTAAAAATGGGAAAACAGCTCTGTAGTAGTGCTGGACTCAAACCTACCATCCTAAACCCCCCACTCCCATCCCAGACCAGTAAATTAACCCCCATGCGGGGCTCTCTCTGCACAGAAAGTCCATTTATAATTACTAGATAACACCTCATAAATATGCTTAGAGAGGTTTTAAATGATATGAAACAAGGGCTGAAATAAATCGGTTTCAGATTAATTCCTAGGTACCTAGAAAGTAAATCATCAGGCTTGGCTTCCACCACAATACACAAGTTAATGTTTTGCTGTGTCTGTGTGTGTGTGTGTGTGTGTGTGTGTGTGTGTGTCCAAAGACATGTGTTTGTCATATCTGTGCATGTACATGCAGAGGATAGGTGGTGGCTGAGAATTTTTCTGAGCCTCTGTTGTCTTACTCAATGAGAGAAAGTACACTGGCTGAAAGTCAGAAGGCACATGTTCTAGTTCTGGTTCTATTAGAACTAGCTGTGTGACTCTAAGCGAGTAATTTACCTCTCTGGGCCTTTGTATATGAAAAATGAAAGAGTTGTTTTAGGTTATCCATAAAGACTCTGCCAGACCTTCTATTCTGTGGCTCTAAAATGAGTTCAAAGTATGCAGCAGAGCTTTTTAGTGGCTTCATGGGTTTCCAAAATAGTTACAGGATGTCTTTCTAATAAGCAGACCTGATCATGTTAACTCCTTGCTTGAAAATCTTTCTAGAACTCACCAACACCCTCAGGATAAAGTCTGCTCTTTGGTAAGACACATTACCACCTCCCCCCAAGCTCTAGTCCTTGATGGTATCTCCTTCACCCCTTCATGCCTTCCACACCCCACTTCTGCCAAATTGACCGATGCTCCTCCCCATCTCAGACCTCTGCTGCTCCCTCCTCTGTCCTTCTCTGCTCCCACCCACCCCAAGGCCTCACTGTCCCTAGACCAGTGGTCGGCAAACTCATTAGTCAACAGAGCCAAATATCAACAGTACAACAATTGAAATTTCTTTTGAGAGCCAAATTTTTTAAACTTAAACTATATAGGTAGGTACATTGTTATTAACTTAATTAGGGTACTCCTAAGCTAGCCTTTGCTAAAAACGTCCTCAATCTGATTGAGGTACGCTCGCTGAGGTCGACCCCTTCCAACTCTCCCATCCACACTTGTCTTGTATACTTGTTTTGTCTATCTCCTTTCGTTCATCCTCTCTATATGTCCAAACCAGGGGTCTTCAAACTTTTTAAACAGGGGGTCAGTTCACTGTCCCTCAGACCGTTGGAGGGCCGGACTATAGTTTAAAAAAAACTATGAACAAATTCCTATGCACACTGCACATATCTTATTTTGAAGTAAAAAAACAAAATGGGAACAAATACAACATTTGTATTTGCATGTGGCCCGCAGGCCGTAGTTTGAGGACCCCTGGTCCAAACCATCTCAACATACCTTTCTCAATCCTCGACACTACATCTTCTTTCACTCCACAACGTTCCCTAAAATTAACTTAATAAACTTTAAAGTTTTAAGTCAACTTCGTACTGTACGTGCGCGCCCGCACGTGGTATTGTGTGGAAGAGCCACACTCAAGGGGGCAAAAAGCTGCATGCGGCTCGTGAGCCTCAGTTTGCCGACCACTGCCCTAGACAATCAGCTCACCATCATCCTTTCCAGGAAGCCTTCCTCTGAATACCTCGCTACTGCTGGGAGCCGGTCCATCCTTGCTGTTTCAAGGGACCTGGCATATATGGCATACTGTTCTTAATATGTTTGCTCACCTTCTTGGCACTATGTGTTTTAACCAAGGTCACCTCTCTGAGAAAGGTTGTTTCCCCAGGTAGGGATTTTCCCCTGAAGTTAGGGAGGGAATAAAACCCCTTAACTAAGTGCCAGGGGTAATTAATCACTTTAACTACGAACAATCATGCTTAAGCTACATAATCTTTACTCCCTGGAATGGAGATAAGAAACGCCCTAACCTTTGGAATAGAGATTGATAGGATTGGAATCAACTGGTATAAATACAGATGTAACAAGACAACAGGACACAGAACCTAGAGACAGAAACTAGAGACAGAACATGGCAAAAGATCCTGGACAGAAACTGGCAACAGAACCTAGAGACAGAACCTAGCGAGAGAACCTGGCTGAAGAACCTAGAGACAGAACCTGGCTACAGAACCTGGATAGAACATGGCAAGAGAACCTGACTAGAACCTGGTGACTGAACCTGGCTGGAAAACCTGGACAGAACCTGGCTGGAGAACCTAGCGAGGGAACATGGCTACAGAACCTGACTGGAGAACCTGGAGAACCTAGCAAGAGAACATGGACACAGAACCTGGCTGGAGATCCTAACCAGAACTTCGCTGGAGATCCTGAACAGAACTTGGCTAGAGATCCTGGCTAGGCTGCTGATCAACTGAACACTGTCTCCGTGTCATTCCTTCTTCGCCGACTCTGTCCACACCTTTGGGGACCCCTGGACCTGTTGGGGTTGGACCCCAGCACGCTACCCCACCCCACATCCTCCAAAACCCTCTGGTTTCCTCCCCCACTACACCGTTTCCCTCTCTGGGCTATGAAGTCTACCAGACAGAGAGCAGTCGTGTTGCCCTCAACACTGATCACTGCACCGACCACACTATAAATAAACAAATAACCAGCACCTATTATTTCAGGGGCCTCTGGATCAATGTGTT